ACATACACACACACACACACACACATATATATATATATATATATATTATTATAAATTATTATAAATTATAACATATATACATATATATATATAAATGATATATATATATATATATATATATATATATATATATATATATATATATATATGTATATATATTAAACACAATTTTCAGGACATAAGTGTTGTGTTTTTGCTTGACTATTTATATATGCTGGTCAGTAGTGCATTATGAGTAGGTCTGTGATATTATTGTAGCAGTTACCAGATGGGCAGTAATGGTTATTCTATATGTGGATCTGAATTCAATTTTGTATTTATAGTGTATATTAATTTTTTCAATAATTATTTATTTTTGACTATTTTATTATTTGTTGTTGATTGTTATTATTCCATTTACTTGTACTTTATGTGTGCATTTATAGTTTAATAATTGTTTTATTATTTATTTAATTTATTGATTTGCATTAATTCATTTTTAGTTTTTTAAGTAATATATTAAAAATCTGTTTTTGTGTCTGCATTTTGAGATGAGATCTAATCATTTATTTACTAATTTGCATTGGTCTGGGAATGTAATTTTAGATATTTTCTCTTCCAGAGAGAGTTTACAGTTTTTAAATTTATTGTTGTAGGCTGATGCTGTTTTCCTTATTTTCCATAATATTTTTGATGTGATTTGTTTTTTTTAATTTCCCAGATATGTTTAGAAAGCCTTGTTCTGTTCACATATTTACTATTTGTAAGCGTTTTCTGTGCATATTTTCTTTGTTTCCATGGTCATTCAGTTACTCCTATATATCTTTTTTCTCCATTTATCTGCTGACTTTACAGTGGCTGTATATATTACATTGTTTTACAAGCAATTGCCATTTCAGGAATATCTGTCTTTGCACTGCCGTTACACATGTGCTTGATTTGTGTGGGTGGTTTGTTGTTTTCCTGTTGTACTTTTTATTATTTGTGTCATGTTTTGGGGGCAACTGTATCTGATTTTTACTGTGATTTAATTGAATATTTTATGGAGAATGCTTGATGTGGGGAAGTGTTTTCATATGAGTTTAATGACTAGTTTTCTACATTTTTTTATGCTTTTGTTGTATAGTGAATTGAACCAGGTGATGTTTCTTTTCCTCTTGTTTTTGTGTGTGTGTGTGTATATGTGCTGTGCAACATGTATGCAAAATCCACTACCTTTAAGGGCTGGTTTCACTAGATGAATTGTAAGTCAGATAACCTGCAATTTATTGATAAATTGGTTGGAAAATGTGTGTATATAAAGAGGTTTGTCATTAGGTTTTCTTAGATTGAATGTAACATCTAGGAACTCTATTTCTTTTAGGTTAGCTTTTGTGTCTCTCATTCTATCTATCTAGCACTCTCTCTCTCTCTCTACATATATATATATATGTCTGTGTGTGTGTGTGTGTGTGTCATAGTCTTTAGATATGTGTATGAAATAATGTTTGTAAAAAAAATAAAAATATTTTAATACACTCTGACATAATCATCATCTATGTGCTATGTACCTTCAGGACATGGGTGATCATGGCTCACCACAACTTCCTGACTTTTGTAACTTTTAGTAAGTTTAGTCTTTTTTTCTATCTCTCCTAATCACTTTTCTGTCAACCAGTTATGCAAGCAGAACAGAATTCTAAAGAGAATTATGACTTAATCCGATCATCTTTTAATCCCTGTCCAGCTTGTGTAATTGGTTGGAAGAACAGGAATTAAGAGATCATCGGATTAATCTAAAGTCATTGTTCTCTTTTGATGTATACATAAAATAAGCTTTGGAGTAAAGATCTGAAAAAAAATGAAAATACATTTGACAGACTCAAAACTTTTCATTACTAATTAGACAGTCTAAGAAATGCTTTGCTGGAAGAATTATTGCCAATGCTTAAGATATATATATATATATATATATATATATATATATATATATAACCTCAGTTCTTAGAATCAACAGCCAGTCTACCTGCACATATCATTTGATTCTAGTGGTGAAAGCTTGTGCAGAACCAACCACATTTTTTGGAAGAGCTGAATACAGAGAATAGGTGCACGTGATGACACAAGGTCCCCAAACGACACTCTGCAGGTTTTGAATTCAGAGTTAACCTTCTCCTAGACTGGTTGCCACACAAGTCTACAGGACCCAGTCCTGTCCTGCTATTTACCCATAGATGAGAAAAGAGATGGATTCATGCCTTTCTCAAAGATATATTAGCCCGTAAATGAATGTAACTCGACTGGAATTTGAACTCAGCTATTCGATTCCTCAATCAATCAAAGCTGCTATCCATTTACTCCACTGTGCCTCCATGTATGTATATATATATATATATATATATATATATATATATATATATATATATATATATATATATATATATATTGGCAGTGATGATCAAATTGACAAGAATATGGAGGAGCAAAATCAGCTTTCAAACAAAGTACAGATTGTATAAATCGCTGGTAGCCTTCATTCTCCATTGAGAAAACTCTTTGGCATTTTCTATTGGGAACAAAAAAACAATGAGTTTGTGCAGATAAAGGGTTGAAAATTTCGTGGGACACCAGAAACCTCTTCTCACCACTTACAAACAGAGAAAAATGGCATGGTTTGGACACATTACAAAGCATGACAGTCAGTGCAAGACCATCAGGCAAAACAAGATATATATATATATATATATATATATATATATATATATATACATGTGTGTGTCTATATTTCTGAGATGAGGTATGTGATTATTTACACTATATTGTTTGAACTGTTTTCTTAATCTTTGTTGCCTTATTTACAATGTTTTGGCCATTTTACGCTCCAGCCTTCAAGAGATTGAAAAAATCCAGAGCATACAATGGCCAAAACATCATGTGTATGGCAATAAAGGTGATGAGAACAGTCCAAATAATATAAATAACACAAATGTGTGGGTGTATGTTTATTTGCTCCCTCTGGTACCATCTGACCTAGCTGCATTGCCAGATCATCAACAACTAAACCTGTTCCCTATTTACATTATTCGGGCTATTGTCCTCATCTTTGTTGCCATATTTATTATTTACAACAATGCTCCGACCTTCTTCAGGTGGTTGGAATGTGAAAATGAACCCTTTATTTCACTCACTGGGGTAGACTGTTCTAGTTCAACATGGATGTCAGGACAGAAGGTACAGTGGATAAAGGCATTAGTTAGATCCAGTGACAGGACCCAAAGAGTGTGTGTTCAATACCTGGTTAAGGCAGTGGAGAACTTGGAGAGGGGAATTAACAGGAGATAACTGATAACTGACATCCATTAGACATGGCATGTGGAACTAGAACAGTCTACCCCAGTGAGCGAAATAAAGGGTTCAGTTCGATATTCCAACCACCTGAAGAAGGCTGGAGTGTACAACGACCAAAACGTTGTAATAAATATGGCGACAAAGATGAGGACAATAGTCCAAAGAATGTAAATAGCGTACATAATACCTCATCTCAGAAATATAGACAGATACTAAACCAGTTCCTTCATCTTGCTTTTTTGATAAGGAAGGTGAGGGTGGTGGAAACATCAAGCATGATTAAAATCAAGACCTGCCAAAGAGTAGATGATCCTTCTTGGTGGGTTAATGGCTATCTAGCCCAGTGGTGTATACTAGGCACAATAGCTATGTATGCAGCCAGTGGGGTGATTCATATCTCTTTGGGCAGAGGGTTCCCCTGATTGAATCAACAACTGCAGGTGTGTGACCAAGAGGAGCCTCAAATTGGAGGATATATGTTTTGACTTGGAAAAGACTAGACTCCACCAGGTTTACTTGCTCAAAACACACTACACATATATGAATATCTCCCTGGCTTTCAACCCATATATATGGTGAGAACTTGCCAGCTGTGCAGTGATACTATGACCACACCCAGTCATGAGACCAATAATGATGAGTTAAATGAATGAATCCATATCTCATATTGAATTAATATATTGTAAGGAAGTTCTGGAATGCTCTGCTCTAGTGTTTGTGGTAATAAAATAATTGCATTCCATCTCCCCTCTTGCTTGTAACCATCCACTATAATAAAATAAACATTTTCAGTTGTTAAAGCTAAATTAGTCAAATAAAACTTCATAAGCTTCTACTTGCTATATTACAATGTTAATTATTCTTTGGGCCATAAAAAACATACCTGACTTCAGGCTGAACGTTTTTTTCCTCATCTGTTGTTTTTGCTTCAGGTTTTATCTGAAATTTGATTTTCAGGCTCATCTCTTATTTTATTAATTATTATTGATTTTTATTGCAATGATCATATATTTTTTTTATATTCTATAAATATAGATTGTAAAATATACAAGAAACCTCCACAACCTATGAACTCTTATTCTACAACTTTATGAACATGTCTCACCTGTCTGTTATTATTTCCAATTTGGCTACAACAGGTGAAGTCATCTTTTCTCATTTTAGTTCTCCATTCAATATTATTTGTTTCCTGGTTGCATACATAGCTATGGCACCCAATATCATTACAATCTTAACCTGTTCAAGTTTAAGGGTAACCATTATCTTCCCCACCTATTCACACAAACTGCCTTTTAATGTAACACTCTACCTCGAGTAATCCCCAGGCCTTGAACCTTACTTAAAAAATTTTTTTTATGGAAATACTAAACTATTCTCATATTTGTTCAGGGAGAAAAAATGTCAGATGACAATTAAGTGATATATGACATGGAGATATCTTTAGAACAGCTTGTGACGGTTCCTTGTGAAACTCTGGATTTTTGGAGGAGAAGATGATGGTTAAAAACGAAAATGGAAGAAGAAATGATGTAGTAGAAGGAAAGATAAACAAGAGAAGAGATTGCTTGAAAATTAGTTTTAAAAGCAAACGAGAAATACAAGAAAAAATGAAGATTGAAAAATATAAATAAATAGCATGAGGAAAAAAATGTAAAATTGCAAATAGAATGAAAAAGAAAAACAAAGAAAACAGGTCAAAAAAAAAGAGAAAAGAAAAAGAGTAAAAGAAAGAAAAATGAAGAAAAAGATAAAAAGTAAAGGAAAAAGAAGAAAAAATGATGGAATTTTAACGAAAAATAGCAATGATGGAAGAAAAAAGAAAAGAAAGAAAAGTGAAAAGAAATATATAAAGATAAAGAGTAAAAGAAAGAGTAAAGGGAAAGGAAAGAAAGAGATAAAAAAAGAAAGAAAGAATATACATTAGAAAGAAAAATCAAAATGGAAAGAGTAAAGAAAGTAAGATGAACAAAAAGGAAAAAGAATGGAGGAAAAAGAAAGTAGAAATGTGAAAAGAAGAAAAAATTTAAAAAAGAAAAAGGAAGAAAAAAGGAATGATCAAAAGAAAATGGTAGAAAGAAAAGAAAATATTGGAGTAAATTAAAAATATAAGAAGAGAAAAGGTGGAAAGAAAGAAGAAGCCCCAAAATTGAAGCTAAAAAGATGAGTGTACCAAAAGCAAAAGAAAAATGAAGATGTGTTGCCAAAAACTGAGTACCGTTTCCACAGAATCTGTTTATTTTGCAACACAATGTTCTCCAAAGAATGTTATTGGTGGGCATTTTTCCACAAAAAAGAAAAAAAAAAAAAGAAAGATAATCACCCCACACCACCCCACAAAAACAACTTTGACTAATAGACTGAAAAAAAGAAGAAAAAAATGAAGAAAAAAAGAAAGAAAGAAAAGGAAGTTTCATTTTACAAATCTTGACATACCACTTATCATGGAGTAATCAGGTTTCTGTGAGAATTAATGCTTTTCAGAATATATAAAGCCCCCCCCCACAAACTGCATCCGACCATGAATGCAAACACACACACACACACATACAAGTATACATGAGCTCATACAGATATGAACACACAAAAACACCCATTTTTAAATAATGTTCACCTAATATAAGGCTCAAGAGTCACTCAAGGTGGAACGTTAGTGAATGAGGTGCATGATATGAATGTAAGAGGAAGTAAAAACAAGTGAAAATTATGTGGAAGATAGAAAATGATTGACCCATGACTGGAAGAGTTCAAGAATGTAGTTCAGGAAAGCAACCAAGTGAAGGAGAATATGTTCTACAAAGTAGAACTTCTTGGAAAAAAGCTGAATCATCATGCCTCTTTACAAATGGAATATAGAGAGAATCAGGATTATTTTCTTATCATTTCACGCCAAGCAAGGCCACAAAGCCACTAAGATGCAAGGGATTACTGAGTGCAAAAGAATATGATAAAAAGGAAGATAGAAGATAACGATTGAGATTGCATTTAAATTTTTGAAGATTAAAGTTACCTGTGAAGCAAAAAATTGGAAGAGAATTACTCAAGTCCTTATTACTTATTATTTCTTAATAAGAAATAATGTCAGATTAAAAAATCCAAATTATTGTGTTTATATTTCAAGTACAAACATGAAACTAACAGATACAGATTTAGAGAAGTCCCAATGAGACATGAGGCAACCTTAAGTAGTTAGCTGAGCCTTCATTTATCATGATAGTCTCCTGTAGCCAAATTGGTAGCAGCATGCTTCAGCCATAGGAATGGTTCCCCTGATGGAAAAAGAGGTTACAGGGTTTATTACTTTCGGGAGACAAATTTTTCTTTAGTAGGATTTTTCCACCTTGGCTTGTTGCTATAAATTACACTCTTTAAGAAAATAAAAAAGGCAGGGATGTCAATTCAAGCACATTTGATCCCATGGCAAATCCAACCTGTAATGGTCTTAACATTTTCCATGAAAAAAATAGGTCTTAACATTTGCAAATTGAAAAATTGAATGTAGCAATAGACTTGTGATATTGTGTCCATGGGAAAAGGGCTACAAAGTGGAAAATAAGTCCTCCGCCACAAGATTGCAGAAATGATTTTGAAATATATCAAAATTGATAAGTGAAGATTAGGCAACTCCAGCCTAGATATTTGTTTTTAGTTGAATTTAACCCAGGCAACGCAATAAAGCCACTAAGACACAAGGGGTTACTGGGTATGAAAGAATTTAGAAAACAAAAACAGTAGTAGAGTAATCAGGAAGACAGTAGATAATGATTGACATTGGATTAAAATTTTTGATGATCAAAGTTAACTGGAAAGCATAGAGCCAGAAGAATTATACTGATTTGAATCAACCCACAACAAAGAAAAAAAACATCTAAGGTGTTTAAATATAAAAATATAAGATATTTTTATTTTCATGTTTTTTACAACTAAATATTTCTTAGAGTGTATGAGTGTTAAAGTCCTTACAGTTTTTGTTTGTAGTTGTTAGGATGAAAAGAAATATGATTTCTTTGCATGCATGTGTGAGAAAGAAGTAAGCAAGGGGGAAAGTGTAAGTGTCACATAGCTTGGTGAGAAAGAATGTAAGTGTCACTTGGCTTGGTGAGGAAGAGTGTAAGTGTCACTTGGCTTGGTGACGAAGAATGTAAGTGTCACATAGCTTGGTGAGAAAGACAGGTGAATGAGTAATGGAATTTCTTCATGAACTGTTGTCATTTGTCTCTCCTTAATGATTTGTCCATCTAGGAACTTTGCTTAAATAGCCTTCAAAGAGATCACAAAGCATTTTTTTTATTGCTGGTGGGAATGCAACCAATTGGTTGAAAAATGTTAAATATTTATTTTCAAAGAATTAAGAAGAATGTGAAATCCTCTGACTCAGAAACCATTTTTTTGTCATTTAGTGTTTGACTGTCTTGGTGCTTATTACCATTTTTACTCCACAAGAATGCCAGAAGCCAGAAGGGCAAGAAAAGAAACAGCATAGAAATTACAGTTACATCTTACCAATTTAACTCTAAATTGATCAGAACTTGTTGCCAATCTAGTACTGTGTTTAAATTCATAAAGTCTAACTACCATAATGAAGAATTCAATCAAACAATTACCATGAAAGTATTTATAGAAAAGGCACAGGGAAGCAACTTTATGATGGTGAGAAAGTGACTGAAGCTGAGTTGCCAATAATATTGCTGATTTTCTTTGGATTTTATGAAGAATCTCTAAATATAGGGCAGTAGCACTAGACCATATGTGGCAGCAATATGAGGGAAATACTCTATTTTAACCTAATCTGGCTCTTGTAAATATAAATCAACAGAAGAAGGAGTCAGATATTTTCTCGAGTAGTAAAATGAAGAAGTGGGGATTGGAAAATTTAACACTTACAGAAAATATTTAAGGCACGAGGGACAGAGGAAAACAGTGAATAAAGTACCAGACAAGTCTTGTAAATTATTATGTGATGTAGAAATTTCAATTTTTTCTTTGTGATTATAAGAAGTGTCCTTTTTGTTTCCATTTTCCTTTTTGTTTCCTTTTTGTTTCGATTTTTCTTCTTAATTGCTCACATGTTCAGTCTATGGTACTCTCAGCATATGTTTGTAGAACCACATTTCTGTTGCTTCATTTCTCATCTTCATATGTGAAAAGATTGTCCAGCATTTTCTTTGCTAAGGTTCCCCTGATACAAGGCCCAAAAGCCACTCAAGTATTAGGCTTATCTTTGGAATGCATCTTTTGCTATCACAATACACATTCAGATTTTGATATCGCATTTTCCATCCTCTGTTAAAACACTTCCCAGATATTTAAAGCTTCATTACTTGTTTGACATCTCGAATTGATAGTTCTCATCTTGGATTATTGTCCTTGCAATTATATATTCTGTCTTTAGACTGTCAATAGTCCTTTCTTCTCATCTTCCTTTCTTGTCTTGGGAGTTCTTTAGTTTGCTCTCTGTGTCTGTCATAAACACAGTGTCATCTGCATATCTTATATTGTTAATATTGTGCCCACAGATGACAAATCCTGGTAGGGTCTACAGCTCCTTGGGGATAAATTCACTGTAGAGTTTGAACCACTATTGAAATTATTCAAACTATTGTCCTCATCTTTGTCGCCATATTTATTAAAATGTTTTGGTCATTGTACACTCCAGCCTTCTTCAGGTGGTTGGAATGTTGAACAGAACACTTTATTTTGCTTGCTGGGGTAGACTGTTCTAGTTCACGTGCCATGTCTAATGGATGTCAGTCATCAGTTATCTCCAGTTAATTCTCCTCTCCAAGTTTTCCACTGCCTTAACCAGGTATTGAACTCATACTCTTTGGGTCCTCTCATTGGATCTAACTAACGCCTTTACCCACTGTGCCATGTGTCCTTTAGGAGAGAGGAATTAACAAGAGATAACTGACATCCATTAAACATGGCATGTGGAACTAGAACATTCTACACCAGTGAGCGAAATAAAGGGTTCAGTTTGACATTCCAACCACCTGAAGAAGGCCGGAGCATACAACAGCCGAAACTTTGTGATAAATATGGCAACAAAGATGAGGACAATAGTCTGAATGATGTAAATAGTGTAGATAATACCTCATCTCAGAAATATAGACAGATACTGAAGAAGGCTGGACCATACAATAGCCGAAACTTTGTGATAAATATGGCAACAAAGATGAGGACAATAGTCTGAATAATGTAAATAGTGTAGATAATACCTCATCTCAGAAATATAGACAGATACTGAAGAAGGCTGGAGCATACAACAGCTGAAACTTTGTGTTAAATATGGCAACAAAGATGAGGACAATAGTCTGAATAATGTAAATAGTGTAGATAATACCTCATCTCAGAAATATAGACAGATACAGAGTTTGAATCAGTGTGTTACACATCTTTCTATTTTTGTGTACCAAGCGTAATTACAAATAGATAAATGTTGTAACCTAGAGAAGGTTACTGAATAGAATACTCACACAAGGGTTGGCAATGAACGATAATACTTAGGAGATGAACAACACATATAAGATTCACCAGTGGTGCGTAAAAGAAGTAGTCAACTGCTAGAAGTGAGTCAAGTAAATTCCACAATGAATCTCCAACTGCAGACCAACATACAGTATTTACTACTATAGTTATGTGAATGGGGACATAACCCATTATCATCTGTAGTTATGCTACAAGAGTAAGAAAACAAAAACTAAAGAAAAAAATTTGAATGTTACCAAGTTGTTTGCACTAGAGAATGCTACAGTTGACTTAATAGTAATTATTGTTGTAAAATAAATAACATGTGTTTGTAGTGTTGGCAAATTTTTTATAATTTTATTTATTGGAAGGGAGAGGTTAATTTTTTTGTTATATATTTAGAGATTCTTGACAAAAGCCAAAGAAGAATCTGCAATGTTATTGGTCCTGACCTGGCATCTTGGCTTCAATCACTCTCCCATCACTGAAATGAAGTTTCCATATGCCTTTTTTATAAATACTTTCATAGTAATTGTTCTGATGAGCTTCCCTCTATCGTACCTAGACTTTATAAATTTAAACACAGTAATAGATTTGCAACAAATTCTCATCATTTTACAGTTGAATTGGCCAGATGCAACTATAAGTTCTTTGCTAGCAATTTCTTTTCTCCCACTTCTCACCTGTTGAACTATCCTCAGACTTCTTGCTTTCCAGCCAACTTTGATCTTCAAAAACTTAAATGCAATGTCAGTTGTAATCTACTGTCTTCTTGATTCCTCTTCTATTATTGTCCTTAATCCTTCATAATGTTTTTTTCTTTTTCTTATTCTTTCCCACTTAGTAACCTCTTGTGTCTTAGGGACTTTATTGCCTTGCCTCGAGTGAAATGATTAAAAATCAAGGTATATAGTGTTTTTGAAGAGATTTTAGCATTTTTTAACATGTA